GGGGGGGGGGGTAACACCTTTGCAATGACGCCAGTACCACATTGCATTAACCATGCATGTAAAAACAACTGAGGCAGGGTTAATAATTGCCAGATCCGCGTCCCAAACACTCGAAAAGTTAAATCTGGTGAGTAGTACTGCTGGTAATGTTGTTTTTCCCAAAGCCCACTTACAAATAAAGTGTAGCTCTCTCTAGTTCAAAATAAAAGAGAAATAAAATTTACAATTGCACTATGTTACCTATATTCTCTGCCGTTATTTTTATTCATTTGATTGTTTTATTGCTTTAATTAGATTTTTTATATCGTATCCCGGTCGCTACATCTGACTCAATTCATATGGAAATGCATAGTTTTCGACGAGTTTTGTCAACCACTCCTTACAGAGATAACCGAGATAACGGCAAGTAAAACAATAAAAATATATTAAATTAAAAAAAAAGAGTGAGAATCTCAAGTTACAAACTTTATCAGACCATAAATCAAAGTTGCGACAGACCAAGGCGTATCGCTTCGTAAACGTAGGACAGGGGTTTGTCTATGCCACAGAGCGCCACCACCGTTCAAAACATAGGTAAGTAAATGGCCGTTGATGGCGTCATCGGGAAAACACGGTTTAAGTTCGTCTACAGATACACACCTAAGAATAATCCAAACAGCGATTTGTCATTCTAAATTATCCGAACTACTTTTCATGGTTTCAATACTCTTAAAATATGCATATAGGTGTTTTTAAATATTGTTCTTAGTGATTAATTATCCCAATTATCACTTAATTGAATACATGAAATCATTCCATGGTACATTTGTCAGAATAATGTTATCTTCATGATATGATGTCGTATAATGTTATCTTCATAATATGACGTCATACATTTATCTAATTCTGAGCCTTGTATAATGTTTGTGGGGATCGAAAGACTTGGGTGGGGAGTAACATTCTGGCAATATGTTGTGGTACATCTTTTTTAGGGAGTAGATTTTTTTTTTTTTGTCGGGTAATGAGTATGGTACGAAATAGGGATTTCTTAATTTCAAAGGTTACTTTCAGCTATATGTGCTGAGTGGCACCGTTCGAAAATTAACACTAAAACATCAGAGTTTGGCGGTACGCATAATAATGTTAACTATTAATAAATGCATAACTACGTAATATCACATTATTTTGTTTTATTTTATGATTTGTGACTATATCATGAGATCTAAACAGTCATGGAGGTATTCGTAACAGGTAAGTGTAATTCTGATTGGGGAATAATAAATATACGTGAAGTATAGTCAAGACACATTTTTTTTTTCAAACCGCTTACGATACAATTTAATATATTTTCAATAAAATCCAAGTACATCGGGAGGTTGCATATTTATTCACACTTATATTATGCATTCGTCTACTGAACGCTAGAACGATCTTCTCATCCTTGTTAGGGAACACAGGATGGTAGTGAACAAATTGAAAAGAAAATGATTTGTAAGCCCCCGTATTTGTTTTGACTTACTGAATTCGTCTTCAAAAAATCACGTGACCGTGAAAAATTACAGAAATGTGTAGGTTTACTCATTTGTCACTACCACCTGTTCTCGGTTGTAGAAGTCTCGCGTGAGAGAAATGGGGAAGCGCGAGGCAGGCGGTGCCATAAACATGTGTATAGAACGTAAACCCCATTACAATATATATGTATATACAAGTATAGAAGTGGCGTCACATCGTCTTAGAGTGGGGGAGTCGTCACCTGCGCATGCGTCAGATGTCGTTGTTTACAAACAAGCGTCTACCCATAAGCCTTTGCAT